TTGTGGAATTTTGTCCGAACTGTAACACAGAGCTCTGTAAACAGAGGTCTGTAAGTGTGAGAGCAGTTTATTAGCTACACCAACAGGTGGCGGTAGCAACATTGCCTCCTATGAGTTGCAAGTACATCCACTGTAGTACTCAGCGTCATCTGTAGGAGACAACAACTTCTGCTTCTGTATTTTTGTGGATATGATTTTACACAACACAAATGTAAAAATACATGTTTTGGGTAGTGAGATATTTGAGTATATTTATTTTACAGAACTCAAATGTAACATGACCCGCAAAAACCCGCAAAAACTGTTTTGTGTGTAGAAGTCACCCTGTATTTTTGTGGATATGATTTTACACATCACAAACTAAAAATACATATTGTAGATAATGAAATATTTGCGCATCATAGTAGACATTTGTTTTCTGTGGGTTACAAATATTAAAATCCAATTAAATCTTCCAGATTTGAACTAGAGCAGCTGAGGAAAGAAGAGTTCTAAAGTCAGACAGCGACAAGATAATTGTTAACTGGTGTGGTGAAATCATAATTTGCTAATTGAGTTGACGAGTGGGAAATATGCAAAAATATGGAAAGGGAATATGTATTTAGAACTTTTTTTTTTAGTCTGAACTTTTATTGAGCTATTTGTCCTATTACTGTACGGCCAGACAGTCTACAAGTGTACAGTTTGCATAATACATTTAGTGCATCATAAGTTATTCCATTACTGTATTTGAAAATATACATGTTTTCTGTGTGTTTCAGCTTGCAGGCACTGCTGTCTTTGCTATAGGCCTGTGGCTAAGATTAGACCCAAAGACCAAAGGCCTGTTTGAAGGAACAGACTCTCCATATGTGTTTTCGACAGGTAAGACGCAGGAACGTTATCAATTATCAATTAGTAAATTTTTGGATTATGTGAGCTCTGCAAAACACTAAGTGTGCTCAATGCTATCTGTATGCATGTGTAGGTGTATATATCCTGATAGGAGCTGGAGCACTGATGATGGTGGTGGGTTTTCTAGGATGTTGTGGGGCCATTCAGGAGTCTCCCTGTATGCTGGGACTGGTTTGTACCACTTTTTTATTCTTCATGTAACTAATGATATTAACTTCTTTTTACTTTACTAAAATAAAATGTGAACTCTTTAAAACAATCAGTTTATTTCTCTCTGTCTTGAGTGTTTTATGTTTATGTAGTGATCTCACTCAGCAGCACGTGGACTTGTTAACCCACTTTAGCAAGTTTGGACTGTGGACTGACTCAATACTGTCTGCCTTTGTCATTGTTTACTGAACAGTGTCAAGGCCTGAGAAGAGTCTCTAGATTTCCCTGTAATTCTTGCCTCCCTCCCTCCCGCCCTGCCCTGTCTGGCCCTAATCTTCTTGTACTAAATCTCTCAGGAGGAGGGGCCTATGTAAAGTGGGTTTAACTATACTGAAATGACCTTACTTGTGCAGACATGCACACATGGACGCACACATTCACAGTTTTCAATTTTGTTTTTCAGTTCTTCTTTTTCCTGCTCATCATATTTGCCATTGAGGTCGCAGCTGGAATCTGGGTTTTTTCCAACCAAAGCAAGGTAACGTTTAAGTTTAAAGTATATGACATTGATAGTTTTATTTGTGTAACACTTTTCAACAAAGTTACAAGCACCTAACACAAATAAAGAAGTACAATCGAGGCAATACAATAACAATGAAACAACATGTAAAAAAAATACAAGTCAAAAATTAGAATAAATGAAAGGTACAGTGATGAAAAAAGTGAGTGAAATAACTATAAAAAAGAACAACATGAAATGTTGTAATAAGGATTTAAAAGGCAGTATGAAGAAAGTTTACATTTGTCTTTTTTAGTGACATATAAAACATTTTCATTCCGGTTTGCTGCTGTGTTGCAGGTGGTGAATGACATCACAACATTCTACTTGGAGACGTACAATAACTTCAAGACGACAGGAGACGAGCGGCTGAAAGAGACACTGCGGATGATTCAAATCGGGGTGAGGCATATCTGCTTCATTCTAGTTCATACAGACTCAGATTGTATCTAAAAGGAAGTTGGCCGAAAAGTAGTAATTTTTGGCTCCACAAGTGTTCCATAATGTTTTGACTAGATGTTGCAGATTCAGAAAATTACCTTAAAGGAATAGTTCACATGACATAATGTTATTCACTTTCTTTGTGAGAGATAGCTGAGACGATCAATATCAATATCATGTCTGTGTGTTAAGTGTGGAGCAGAGCTGGAAAGGCAGTTAGACTTTAGCATAAAGACTGGAAGGAGGGGGACACAGCTAGCCTCCAAAGGTCAAAAAATCCACTCACTAAGCTCACTGATTCACACGGTATATCTTGTTTGTTGAATTTGTGCACAAACAGTAATATTAAATAAGTCATTTGTTTCTTTAGAAGGCGCTATGTGTTACTATTTCTTGATGAACATTTTATACATGCATCCAGTAGACAGTGTCTCCACTACTTGCCTGGCAACCTCACTGTGACAACAAGGAAGTAAACATTTAAACAAAATGTTGAACTTTAAACCACTTTTGCAAGTTGTCTTGCTCTCTAAATGTATGATTTTCTGTGTTTACAGCTGAACTGTTGCGGACCAACTGGTACTGTAATAGATACTGCCAAAGACACATGTCCTCAGGGAGAGCCACTCGAGGTGCTCATTACAAAGGTATAACTACCCTGAATGTATCTATAGATTGGATGCCAACACAGCAAGGCACTTCGGTCAAGAGATTCGTAATGAAAAAGCAATATTTCAATACAAGACCATCCAAAAGATGTAACAGTTGTCAGACATGCCTCCGCTTTATGAGAGCTGGGGCAATTACTGTCAGATACATAATGATGGTCTGACGTGGCTCATAAGTTTATCAGACTTCCCTTCGCAGACGAATTCCCTCAGCCTTCTTGCAGTGTTACTATGGCAACATGGTTTACTGAAGCCTGTGTGCTGCTTAGGCTGTCTCTTACGTGTGCCATACCACAAGTCATTTTCAGCACAGTACAGCGTAGAGAAAGCTGAAAGAATCATGCTTGTTTGTTGCAGAGTTGTCCTGACGCCATTGATGAGGTGTTCGACTCCAAGCTACACATCATAGGAGGAGTGGGCATTACCATCGGCGTCGTTATGGTAAGTGTGTGATCAGTTTAACTGGAGGATGAGCACTGGACATACATGAGCTAACACAATTAATGTATGTCTCCCTCTCTCTTACAGATGTTTGGGATGATCTTTAGCATGCTCCTGTGCTGCGCCATCAGGAAGTCTCGGGAGGTGGTGTGACACCCACCTTCTTACCCCGAAGTCCTTGTTAATGTTGCATGATGTCATTCCTAGAGTCACATGACTCCCCACTGCCAACAGAAACACTGCTTGTTCAAGGGGGATAACCTAAGCCAGGCTGGGTGTAGATATTTCTGATTATTACATTTAACGTCAGTTATAACTGTGCTGCTGACACTTAGGCCCACCTTCCTGGACTATATAGATGCAATGTGGTTATTTGGCCCAACTATAGAATGGGTGTCATCTGTGCTTCAGTGGCAATGTAGTACAGAAATGTGTAATTTTGTGGTCATTTGATTGAAATTAGTGTTTGTGAACTGCTAATTATCTAAACAAAAGATCATATTATTGTATACTGATCACATTTCTCACCTGGAGTCACCCACTGGCTAGAGGGGTCATGGACCAGGGCAATAAAAAAAGGCAACCACAACCACTTCAGCACAATACAGCAGTAGCCAATGAAATTCTGTATAACTCCTTGTTCTTGCAACACTGAAGTCAAGCCATGGTGATTAGTAGCCAATTGAATGCCGAGCTGTGAACTGTGCGGACTGTGGTTTGTTCCAGCTTGGTATTAGAGTAGCATTTTAGTTCCTCCATTGTGACATTTCATTTGTTCCTTTCCTTTCTTTCTCCAGGTCCTAACTTGCCCTTTCTAAAAATGCCTTTTAACTTTTTGTCACGTTTTATAAATGTCTTTTTTTGTTTTTGTAAACGGTTTATACACTTAGGTGGTTGTATGGTACATGCGGTTTGATGATGTATTTTATAATTTTTATTTTCCAGAGATTAGGTTGATTTATAACATATGCACTATGTTTTACAGAGACAAAAAATAATGAGAGCCAAATAAACCAAACTAACTAAGTCGACTCTGAGGGTAATACATTATAGCAATAACTCATATACACACAGTACAAGAGTAAGATGAGCTGTAATTCACTCTATTTAACTGAGTAAAGTTAATTGACTATATAGCTATTTAGCTGTGTAGAATATAGTAGGCATGTAAGGGTTAGAAGGGCGTGGGAGCCTTGATAAGACTAAAAATAACATTCAGGTTCTTTTCCATGTGCGCAGTGGAAAAAAAAACAATCTTCCCCCACATTTCCCCTCTTTTGATATTCTGCGACCATCAAGTATGACTCATGTAGAGTTTGATCCAAAGCACAAACAAAGCTTTGTTTCTGAATTATCACATAATAAACAAGAAAGCAACTAGGAGCTCACTCTGATTACAGTAAACAGTTCACAATTATTTACATTAGTGAGTCTAGTTAATTTTTAATGACTCATTATTTCCTCAAAATGAGGTGTGAATAGTTAGTGTTCCTCTGATTACAGCCCAAGGAAGTACACTTTGATTTGGTTGTTGACAGCCGGGTGTTCCCCTCTCAGACATCCCACCCCCACTATAGAGATAACGCTGATTATAATTAAAAGGAGGACGGTGTCTCCATGATGCTTTTATATAACAGAAGATGTACTGGCCAAGGGGAGAGGGCAGGAAAACTAGGATAAGGAGAAGGAGATAAGGAGAAATGTTGAAAAAAGAGGAACAATGATGAGGACTCACGAGGTGAGAGGCCAACATCAACATTTGCATACTCACACTCTTTCACACTAACACACAGTAGATAAAGACTAAACTATTTGATAACAACTTAACATTCTGTCCCACACAGAGATTAACACTAAGAAGTTTGATGTTTTATTTTTAAGGTTCTTACCAAACCTAGCCTTGATCCAGGACAGCATGGTACAGAACCACCATAACATTTTATTGGCCTATAAATTGCACTACACAACCGTAGTGCCTTTAAGTATAAACTTAAAGAAAAATAATTAAATACTGTGGCCATACAAAAATTACATTACAATACAATCTCAGTCCTCATCCTCTGTGCCTTCCCAGGAAATGTTTGCAAGTCTGCGTGACTGTGCGTGTAAAGTAGTGTGCAAGCGCAGCACAGTGTCCACCCGGAGAAGACTTGAGACACACTGCAGCACAGCTAGAAGCAGCTGGTATTTACAGGAAACAGATTCAAGGCCCAAGTCCAACATAAAAACATTTGATGACACATCAGCCTCTCTATAACAATGCATGCTCGGTTTACCCTCCTCTAGAAGAAATTCACGTTTACCCCGACCCTGTATGAGGACTGTGTTGTGTTGTGAATGATTTTGAATAAAACTCAGGAGCCTGGTTTGAGTCTGCAGGTAATGTCGCAGACTGTGGGAGTAAATCTGGCGGGGCACACTCAGTAGAGCGTTTGCTAACAGCTGAGACACAGCACAGACACCCATATTTGTGTCATTAGGAAGTGAGCGACTGCGGACATGTTGTAGAAGGGCATGGTTTAAGAGAAACTCAAATGTCCCACCAGCAGGTACAACACAGCCTGGCTCCAACACACACTGCGGGAAGAGAGGTGCATTGGGGATCTGACTGTCCGTATGTATAGATGTCCTTTTGTGTGACTGCGAGGTCCTCTTTGACGCTGTAGTTGCAGTCATTCCTATGGGCTCCCATGTTGAAAGTAGCATGCGGATGGCATCTTGAAACGCACATACATACTGGTCAGTTTGCCCTTCCCCTGGACCACAAATGACCAGACTGCAGGGTTTGATCATGATCCTTTCCTCTGAATCATGAAAAGCAACATGGACATACCTGTGGTAAAGAGAAAAAAAGAGATGACAAACCAGATGACAAAAACAGCAATAATCAAAGCTGTAATTCTTTGTATGCATTTGTGTAACTTTGAATATACACAGTTTATAAGTGAAAAAAGGAGACATGTTTTCATACCTATGGGCTCCCAGCAGTATTGGTCGACAAAAGGTCAGTGTAGCAACGTGCTCTGGTTCAATCGTCCAGCAGTCTGAGGCAGGTGTGGCCCCACTTAGTTGGGCAAACAGAGACAGCTCATTCTCACTGACACACTCCACAACGCACATGTCTGCCTGTGCAGCTAAAGCCAGCACAGCAGCGGACTGTTTGACTGCAGACAGGAGCACAGAGACGCCCAAACGCTGTAGGTTTGCAATGACATGCTCTAGAGACCTTTCTGACCAGGCGCTAAACTGCACAATACTTCTCTCCCTCCTTGAATTCTCCTCCTTCCCTTGCTCTCCACATCCCAGCTCCAGCACTTCTCCTGCACGGAGAAATTCTGGCTGCAAGTACCCAGTGAAAACCACAGCTTTAACTGGCTGGTGGTCGGTCTGAGGGCAGAGCGTAGCAAAGTCCCTGTGAATGACCTGCCCCTCAATCAAATGTGAATAACTGATAGGGAAGCCTGATACAGGTGTATGCAATGCAGGCAAGTTGTCATTTACAAACTGAAGTGATACGGAAGGTAGGTCATTTTTAAACTTCCAGTGAGTGAACAGTTCACAGGTGAGGTCACTAATAAATTCACAGTGGATGAGACCAAGACGTGAATGAAAGAATGATGCCAGCAGCTTTGAACACAGTAACTGTTTGTGTGAGCTGGTGATTGTGTTTTTGCTGTGAGATCCTCCCATGAAAGACAGCATCCATACGGGACCACTCCCATAGCAATCAGATCATCTAGATCCTCCAACGCAAATGCCAGCAGTTCATCAGCCAAGTGCCTGGCAGTGGCAGCCTCTGCTGCTTCCCTGGTGTTATAGGTGTCAGACACATTAGGCTCCTTGCAGGCGGTTGTGTGAATCATCCGTAGTAATGCTGCCAGCAGTACAATGAAGGTCTTGGATCCATCGCCTGTTACAGTGCTGTGTTTCAAGACACATTCCACCACCATCCTAAAATGAAAAACAAACAAATACATCAAAATGTCACTTGTCAAAAGAGTATGATAGTGAAGGAGTAGATGTGTCTGTGTGTTACCTGGCTACTGGATGCTCCAGTCGTAGTGCTGTGAGAATACGTGTCCCACTGCGGCTCAACATCGCCTGTCCTGTGTCTCGGGTGAACAGCACCTGTCCTCCGTCAGGGCCAAAACTGCGGAGAACGACAGACTCCAACACAGACACAGTCTGCAGAACATGGTCCAGGTGAAGTCGCTCCACCGGCAGCATCCCCACACCCTGGAAGGCACACACTGAGGTTTAAAAGGGGATGAGCAACTATTAACTGCAAAAAAGTCAATTTTATAAACAAGCAACAGACTGAGCATCACAAGCAGTGTCCAAATATAGCTTTTTGGCTCACTGTGAACAGCAACAGAAGGGAACATAAAAGGCATTCCGATATTACTGGCTCAAAACACTACAAGTGGGCTTGAAAAGATAAATTAGATCATGTGTGCTGCAGAGTTGTACTTTACATTTGATGTCAATTTTGGATCTTTGCTTACATTTCAAAAACACGTTTTAATGTTAACAAATTAGTACTATGTTAAAAAAACAGCCTGACTTCGAACTGCAGTTCACAAAATGAGCTCAAAATAAATATTTCTACAATGAAATCTGTTCACATATTTTTGTTATCATACTGTAATTTATTATGTGGTATAACTAGTGTGTAGCAAACAAACTTTAAGTACACTATAATGTATAATGTATTGCATGCATGACTGCAATGTTTGATGGCTGAATGTAACGTTAAGGCAAGCGTGCAACTTAAAGTATTTTCTTATTGAAGAATGTTTTATTAGACTTTATGTTAGCTTCCGAAATAGAAACTGACACAGACTCTATTTAAGTACGGTGGTACAATCGATATAACGTTATAGACTTTACTCTTAACAAACCGTCAGCGTAATACCTGTAACCAGCGGTATGAACTGTGGCTGCACTGGGCCATAATGCCATCAACCACGAATACATATCTACAGCAACAAGTAACGTTAAGGTTAATAAGTTTTTCATATATTCAGCGTTTGTCAGTGGTCACACAAATCTTTTCCTGTCCTTCTCCTGCCATGTCACTCGTGTCATTTGACTGAATCACCAAAGTCAGTGTAATTTACTAAAGCTAGGTAATGTTACTCGGCAAACCAGAGTTTGATTACTACTAGCATACAGCTAAGTTAACTTGGATACCGTTAGCATCTGCTAGCTAGGTAGTTAGCTGAGCCAATGCAGTGCAGAGCTGCTCAAGTGATCCTTTGTTGTGATAAACCCTAGAAATGGCTTAAAAGAACACTTTTCTAACTACCAGAAAACAGCCAATTCCTGAAGATATCAGATAACTCACCATCAGTCCGGCAGGAATGCTTTCTCTGTGTATCCTAGCGACGAGACTTCATCTGTGGTTTGCTGCGGAGATGTAATTTACACCAGAAATGACTGTTGCCACCAAGCGCGAGGAGGTAGTTGTTTCTCCCATCACTAAAAAAACGGTGCTTACAGGTAACTGTGCAGGGATTTTTGGGCTGTAAGTATCATTATTCCTTTCTACATGCATGTGTGAAAACGTATATTTATTATTATTATGACGTGAATATGAGCTTTCTGCATGTGAGTGGATATGCCAGTTTGGTTGTTTACATGAACAATTTGCCTGTGTACATCATTATATCTTTTCATAATCTGCCTTTACAGGGCTAATAAACAGTGGTGTGGAATAATGCATAAGCAAATTTGCAGCACAACAGACCTTTTTCACAGACATTTTGACATGTCACAGTAGAAGCACAGGTGTAAACAATAAAATGAATTATGGCTTAATTCCATTTAGGTGCTTCAGTTTCAAAGTTATTGTCCTATTGTGTATGCTGGCAAACTGTCACCAGCTGGGATACATGGAAAGCATGAAGCTGTCATATGTTAATGTTATTAGTAACACTAGAGCTTTTGTGTCTGCTGTGAGAACAAGGCTTTGTTAATGCCCTCATCTTCAGTACATTCTGTTTGCAGAAATATTTTACTTCCTTGAGTTGAGTTCAGAGACACTAGATTTTTAATAATGATTGTATCTGTTTAAAGTTGTGTGTCTGTGTATGTGATGACTGTTGTGTCTGACTGAACTGTCTTGTTGGGATGTTGCATATATGTAATTTTATTCTCTGGTAAAATAGATATTTATCTCAATGAGTCCTCCTCAACAAATAAATAAAGCTCCATTTTCTACACACTCAATGTCAATGTCAAATGTCACCTCAAGATTCCAACATGGGCTTGAGTCAACTGGCCTCACTTTATGATGTGACAATCACAGCTGACCTAAAATAAACAAAGTAAATCCATAATATATATTTCTATATGACACAGACAGAGGTTATGTTGAGCTCCCTCTTCCATGCCCATCCCCCTACCCCTCTCTTTTTCTTTTGTACAGTATCTCTTTGAGTCTCTGGTACCTCAAGGTGAACGGGGCGGGGCCGGAACTTGATCTCTGTGTTGCTGCAGAAACCACATCCTAAGTTTCTAAATCAGGCAACATCATCTATACATAGACAATATGAGACAGTTTTGAAGTTACTGCCAGATGTACAGATGCACACACACACACACAGAGCTGTCCACTCTGAATGTAAATGTCCTCTATTGCTGAACTCTCACTATGCTAACGAGCCTTTAAAAAGCCATGTCACTACACTAATGAATATGCATCTGTGGCCCGGTGAGGGTGACCTGTAGGGATGGGACAGAGGTCGCAAGAGGTGGGGTGTCAGAAATAAGCACCAGTGCTCCCATGAGACCCGAATGTACGGAAAAGAACACATTCACCCGAACACATAACACACACACACACGCGCGCGGAGGGAAGCAACACAAGATGACCGAGCTGCAATTCCACCCATCCCGACCCCAAACCTATCTTGTCCTTCCCTCCCTCACTCTCACTCTCACTCTCTCTCTCTCTCTCTCTCTCTCTCATCCAGCTTTCACACACCTGCACTCTTCTTCTATGTGTCTAAGAACTGGCCAGAAACAAAAACTCTTCCTTACCTCACTGTTTTTCCTCCACCTCTCGTGCCCTCTCTGGTCCTGTCATCTTTTCTCCTCCTCCTCCTCTTCCACCTCTCTCTAAGGAAAAGGAGTACCTGTGAATCTTAACATTGCTGCTGGGACGACTGAATACAGGTATGTCTCTGCCTCCTTTTTTTCTTTTTGTTTCATCAATCAAAACTACTTAAATGTATTTCTCTCTCTCTCTTTCTTTTTGTGCTAATTGAATAGTAACTGTGTGTAAACCCACAGATGCATAAAAGATCAATATTATTAATCAGGACTGTGCAGATCATTCTGTTTGTTACTGCAGGCTGCAACAACACAATTATCATGGGTGTTTTATTAGTTTGTAACTCCAGTTTCATATATTTTCTTTTGCTTTTAAAGATTCGCTATTTCTGAAGGTTGAGAACATTTCCGTCTTAAACTTGTTTTTTATTTTTAGATAAAATAATTTCATCTTGCTGTGACACTATATTTCATATACTGTAACGAATTTGCAACCTTGTAAGATCAGCTGTAAAAAGAGTTTCATCTGCACTCACAACTGAAGTTGGGGGACCATATGGTGCGAATACTGAGTCATTACCACCTCTGCAGCAAAAATGAAAGACGACAATGTATATGTTTGCTAATACGTATTTACCATATGCAATAATTACCAGTTTGATAAGTAAGTACCTTGTAATGTTTCTGTTTTATACTGGCATATCAAAATATAAAAGCTGTGAATTAACACTTGGTTACACTTGCTGTTGCATGCTGTTGTGTTTGGCATCGCCATCGGTTCATTTGGATGTACCTCGGAAGCTTCTGTTTGCTCCTGCAGCTGTTAGTGTATCAGAGGTGGCTTCTGTATGAGCGCCTGTCTTTTCAGAAAAAAAAGGTGAATATTTCAGAAAAAACAGACATAAACGGAGGTCAGTGTTTGCTTGGGTGTGGGATCACATCTGCTGACCTAACCGCATATACTCAATACCCGTGGTGTCTGCAGAATAGAAAATAGCATATCAAAATGTTTTTGCACTTGGGAGTCAAGTCTTGGCAGTGGGACTTTTCGCTCATAGACTTTGTTAGCCTGCACGACCTTGGCACACAATTCTCACCTCTGGCTGCTCACTGTGGAACAGCAGAGGTCCACGCATGGCGCTTACACTTTGCTTCTCCCCTTCCTCTTCCCTGTCCCTGTCCCCTCCATGTCAGCAGGTTTGGCAAAGACAGCGGCTTACATATCCTGTGTTCGAGTGTAACTGCCAGGCCAGCAGAAATAGGAGAAGTCATTTGACACTGATGGTGATGATCATACAGTGTCTATAAGCAGATTATTGCTTCAAATAAATCTGATCAATAGCATTTATGGAAACTCTACTCTGGTGTGTACGTGTATATGTGTGGATGGCTCCTCAGATTTTGATTTTTACACATCTGGTGGGCATTTACATGTGTTCCTATTTCTGTTTTGTTTAAGTGTAATGTTCCATATATTGCACAAGTTGTTATTTTGTTAGGGTTGAGTCATATTTTTTCCGTGTCTCGGTTTTTCTGCCAGTTTAATTCAGGATCTGCAGTCACTCCTCAAAGAATGACTGGGAACCGTCGAGCTGCCCCGGCTGCACAGGGCACCCCTGCCACCCCAACCCACTTGTCAAATGCGACAACCACCCCAGGCCAAAAAGAATCTGGAGGCCACAGTCCCAAAAAGTTTATGAGTGAACTGCGCAGCATCCACAGTGAGTTCTACACCTTACTTTTAGGCTAGATAACATAAATATATACAATCATACCAATGTACTGTAAAGGTGCAGCCATAACTGCATCTCGAAAGTAGTCGTGTCAAATATCAAAGCACCAGAGCCAGTTATGACCCTGGAGGGTTTGTTAAAGACATCAAGGTATTATTTCATACTGCGGGACAACTTGGGGGAATGAAAGTGCTGTAGTTCTGTCTTTTTTAAAGAAAATAAATGAGATCACAATTTTTGACAACCCTAGTATTTGGCATTTGAGATATGAGTACCATGCTTGAAATACTGGGCTGAAGGTGGTCAGCTGAGTGCACATGCGGACATTTTGACAGCTAACAATAAGCTTGCAGATATCATTCTATCCATAACTATATTTTAGAGAGAGTAATATCTCTATTCCTATTTTCAGACAGCTAAAATGATTGGATGGCAAATTAGCCTCGGGAAGTAAAAGGTGCAGAAAGTGTTTTGCTTTGAGGAATGTGACTGAATGAGGTAGTGTCACACTGTATACAAAGAAGTATTTGCTTATATGGGATATACTATGTTTAAAGTTTAAAAATGGGCAAGTTTAAAAATGCATACGGCACAGTTACCTCCCAGGTAGAAGTGCACTATCTTCTCGTGTGTGGAAGTTAATTGTTTAGTTAGTTCAGACGTGCCAGAGTTGTACATGCACGCTGCTTGTAATGCTATGTGCATGCATATTGAAGAATCACAATTGCAAGTCATACAAAATGGCATCTTGTATTTGAATATGTCAGAGTCATATAACGCTCCAATGACGCTTTAGAACAAGCAGAATACAAAGAAGCTGGACAAATGATAACACTATATGGCCTAAAATGACCACAGATTTGAATCAGCACCTCCCTGACAATATTTATTACAGGAATATGGGATTGGATTGCATTGCATTTTCCAGTGTTCCTGATATTTTGTTCACTCCCTGTATTTGTGATTACACTGTCTGTGTTTTCAAACAGTGTGGGGAAAAATGTGTTTCATCTCAAGGTGAAATTTAAGGGTAAAATTTTGCACACTGTATTCAAGCGCCTGACTAAAAGTGTGTGTAAATTCATATGTATCGTCTCCGTGTGTGTGTGTGTGTGTGTTTTACGTGAATTTGCAGTGCCATCATGGGCTGTTGCTGCCCTCTGCACCGTGAGTTTGTGCGTGGTGCTGTCGTGTGCTGTTTGCGTGTGGAAGAAGTGCTTGAAGAAGAAGGACAAGGACAAAGAAAAGGACAAGAAAAAGGGAAAGGAGAAGAGCAAGGGAGGCTTTGACACCGAAATGGATGGAGGTTACAGTGAGGTAGGCTACACAAACACACATACACACAGGCCCCCCCTGCAGATGTATTGTCCTTGCAATGTATCACAGTCCTGACATCCGGGTCACCCAGGAGTAGTAAAACTGTCCGTGTGTGTTCAGACCATAGACTGTATATAAAAAGATTAATGGATGTGTTGCACATTGCTCATGTTGTAATAAAGGCTGAGATCTGAGATGACTTGTTTTGGAGAGCCGTCGAGGATGCAGGTCACACTTAAACACACTGATGGTGTAAAATGTGCCCCTCCCCTTTAAACAATAAATAAACTTTAGATGGTAACATCATCTCCTTTTAATTGCCTCTGGCTGTGTAATACTATACGATATACTGTAGGAACACAGCACAAATAGCTGCTCCACAAGCCAACAGAGGGGCTTCATTGATTACTTGTAAAGCTATGTATTTCACCGGCATGTGATGTGTGTCTATGTGTGTGCAGCCGCCGAAGGATGATGGTAACAAAGAAACAGAGCTATCAGATAAAGAGCCCAAGGAGGAAGAGAAGCTGGGGAGGCTACATTTCACATTAGACTATAACTTCACAGAGAATACGGTGAGATGCTGCTATTCACTGTGACATGTTTATGGCCGCCATCTGCCAACTCTGAAATGTCACATTTTAATACTTTCCTTCTCCCTGTGAATTAGCCAGGTTCTCATCTCTCGTTATTGCTTTTCTTCGCTATCACATTCTAGCTGGTGGTAGGCATCTTGCAGGCTACTGAACTTCCTGCGATGGATGTGGGAGGTAGTTCTGACCCTTACGTCAAAGTCTATCTGCTCCCAGACAAAAAGAAAAAGTTTGAAACCAAGGTTCATAGGAAGACCCTCGAACCCAACTTCAATGAGACTTTCACATTTAAGGTACATTAAAACTCCAAGATGTAGTTATGAATCCTGACTGGGTGCACACAGCACACAGTATGTTTCATATGACTGTCCTTGGTTTACCTTCTGTAGGTGCCATACACTGAGCTGGGAGGGAAGACACTGGTGATGACTGTGTACGACTTCGACCGTTTCTCAAAACACGATGCTATTGGAGCTGTGAGGATACCAATGAGCAGTGTGGACTTCAGCCAGACTCTACAGGAGTGGAGGGATCTGCAGAAGGCAGAGAAGGAGGAGGTGGGAGCACACTTTGGGAAGGGAGGGGGGGCAGAGTTGAACTTGAAAAAGCCATGCACAAGTTTATTAGAATAAAAATAAATTTGCTTTTTGGTTTTCCAAAATTGCTCTTCAGTAGGAAATATGATTTCCTACATGTGTTTCTTTATTTCCATGATACAGTATGTAGGTTACAGATGCTTGATGTTTCTTTGGCTTGAGTAAAATACTTTCTCATTTTGATATTTACACTTAATTTCTAAGCCACCTCACCTCTTTCTCCAAGGAAGACCTGCATCCTCTTTGATATTGATATTGCAATACTTTTAATAAAAAAATGTAATCTTAAGTTATTAGCCACACTTATTAGACAATATTAGTTATTAGACAATACCCCAACAACATACTCACCTTGTTTTCTTTGTATTAGAGTGAACGGCTTGGAGACATATGTTTGTCCTTGAGGTATGTGCCTACTGCTGGGAAGCTGACGGTGGTGATTTTGGAAGCCAAAAACCTAAAGAAAATGGATGTGGGTGGATTATCAGGTGCGTCACGCAGCAAAAACAAAATCTAAATCCACATTAGATCTACAGTAAGTTAAAGTTTTTTTTCAGTATTGACAACTTCTGTGCCACAATAAAGTTGTTTTTTTTAAATTTATTTTAAACTCTTCAACTAATAAGAAATATAAACATGTCTCAGTACATTTGTATTATATAATATAATTTAATATAACCAGGTTTGTTAGCTCTGATTGAGCACTAAGGGCTTTTTTAGTGGTGTGTCCACTTTCAAGCAGTGGGGGGAAACTATCAGGAGCTACTACAATAGATGTTGTGTTTCACTGATGGAGTCACTGCATCAGTGCCAGGCTGTTGCTCTGATATAAACCCTCTCTGTTCTGTCTATCAGACCCTTATGTGAAGATCCACTTAATGCAGAATGGGAAAAGACTCAAGAAAAAGAAAACAACGATAAAGAAGAACACTTTGAACCCTTACTACAACGAGTCTTTCAGCTTTGAAGTGCCATGTGAACAGATGGAGGTAAATCTTTTTGCACTCACACACACACACGCATGCACGCACGCACGCACGCACGCACACACACACACAAATGCAATTCATCAGAAATTCATTCATTTTCTTTCTGTGTGTATTTTCATTTATAGAAGGTGCAGATAGCAGTGACTGTGCTGGACTATGATAAGATTGGGAAGAATGACGCTATTGGGAAGGTGCTCCTGGGCGCTAACAGCACTGGGATTGAGCAGTGCCATTGGTCAGACATGCTGGCTAACCCCCGGAGGCCAATTGCCCAGTGGCATAGCCTCCAACCAGAGGATGAAGTCAACGCACTGATTTCCAACAAGAAATGAAACTGTGACCTCAGAGGGCTATGAAACCCTGCAGCATTTACCTCAGCTACTTCCATTTTATGTTCCTTACCTATCCCTCAAATCCCTTAAAAAAAACTTTTAGCTACTTAACTAAGTAAATTTACCCAATAATACCCTGTTTTACCCATGACACTATCTGAGTCAAGTCTTCCTTCGGTAATTCCCACCCCATGCTTCTACCCAAACTGCTACAAAGAGTTTAAAACAAAGATGTATCATTATGCACAGTGCTATTAAACCAGATGAGATTTTTTTTAAACCTTTGTATGTTGTTTGTCTGTTCTGTGCAACATGCATGCTACACCTGATATAAACATGAGTAACCTGCAGAGGGAGACAATCCAAAGGATAATGAAATGAGATCCTCATATGACTGCTATTATGTCTCTGCTTTACTTTATAATAATTACCGTTGATTTTTGCCAGTTTCCAGTTTATCCCACTGCAACATTTAAACCTAGGAAAATACACTGATTAAGATGTTAAGGATTAATGATCACCTATCCTTTTTAATTTATTGGAAGACCGTATGTGTGGTCACACTAACATAACATTTTCTGCTTCTTTGTTAAAGAAAAGAAGTGTAGGTGGCAACATAATCAATAAAAAACATTAAGTTTATAGTGTGTCGTCATATTTTGTCAACCCCTGTACTAAGATGGACAAATTAACAGGAATACCTAACAATGATTTTAAGAGTCTAACACATTTCATATCTGTTTACCAAAGCACAGAAAATCCCAACTGCTTAGTTAAGTTAATTAAGCTACTGAGCTTACCATTACTCTATGTTTGTGCTACAGTAAGGTATGGCCTTGCAAAACTAACTTAAACAGACCTGGCTAGCTTTATTTAACCTTAACCTAACACATATTTAGATTAGCATTAATTCAATAATCAGTCCTCTGCAAGAAGTAAAAAAAAAGCTAAAGGTATTGTTGGTTAATTTAATTGATAATGCACAAATATGAACATAATGCTAAACCACTTAGCTTAGCTATCCAGATAGTACTATGCTAACGTTGGAAAAACAAGATCACCCTATCTACGGTAGAGGCCTAATAGCATAACTCTTGAGGCTATTATGCCTCTAACGTTACCGTAGATAGGGGTTTCTTGTAGTTCAGTTAGGAAACGGTTATCTATAAGTTATCACACATTAACGTAATTTTTGGTTAAGGAATAGTTTTTCGCTCTGTTGAATTAACTTTAAATTTGCTGTTAACCTTTTTCACATATATGGTAAATTAGCAGTAACGTTAGCTACTTGCTAAGCATTAATGCTAACGTTATATTGTCGTTTTTAGCTAGCCAAATTAATGTCTGTGTTAACTAACGTATGTCTAACTTGTGTCTATGTTATAGCTGTTTAAATGTCTGGTTGCATACAGCTAAATTCTAGGTCAACGTTATGCTGGTTGGTTAATAAATAATCACAAGTGCAAAAAATTTAAATTCCCTGCCCTCTGTATAAGCGCAATGGCACCGGTGTTTGTCTCCACTTGTATCTACGTCAAAAGTGTCTCCCCCCGAGGTCATTTGTGAGCTACAAATGTGATGGTAACGTTAACTGTAGAGGTGAAAACCTCCGTGATGGAGCGACCGAACTGCTGGCTCACACACACACACACAGACACACACAGACCACAAAGGCGAACAGTCAAGCCTGTCTGCTGGCTGAGGATGCTGGAGTGACAGAGAGAGCAGTGCAGGCTTACCTGCCCTGCCCAACCAGGTGTAGGCTACTCGTCATCTGGGGGGGGGGGAGCTGTCGCCACCAGGTACGTTTACTCTACGACCAAGCATCGTCCCGGTGAAACCCAACATCCAAAATCCTTTCCTCACGGGACCATTGAGATGCACCGTTAACGTTTCGGCGAGACTTCATTTCGACTCTGAGATGAACTTAAAGTGGACAGTGAAACGATTTCTTCTTATGTCGTTTTCAATCTCCCACTTTCTGTTACTTGAGGGTGAGTATTGATCGTTTTACTTCTCCAAAATATTATAATAGTCTTTTAATAAAGTTTACTACACAGATATGAATTTGACCTACTTTTAACAACATAGGGGGTTACCATAGTCACCATACCCTTAAGGTATTACAAGTTATTTTAGAATATTGTTATATATATATATATATATATATATATATATATATATATATATATATATATATATAATCTTTCTGTTTATCTGTATTATCTGTCATAAAACTGCTCTCCCTTTCTGCCCCTTCTTATTGTTGTGTCCTAACATGGCATCTAACTGCTGCCTCATTACAAATGACACAGATGTGCATTAGCCTACTAAAATGTTTGTGATTGGACACCTCTGGATCTGCCTTTAGCTACATCATAAGGATGATTTCATAATAGATAAATAACTGATACCTATTTTGACAAATTAATGTTAATTGAATAACTTTACGTTTAGGAGCTCAGAGCCGACTTTCAGTGGCAGAAGGAAGACTACAGAGGTAAATCAAAGAAATACATAGAATAAATCTCTCTCTGTCATTAATAGTGCTGCCAAAATATAAGTAATATTGGGTTAGAATTGTGTGAGAATTCCTAACACAATGACAGTGATGATTGCTTTTGCACTTTCTATTTCTGTCATTACAGTATGTGACAGAGACAGCATATGAGTGTGTGTACGTGCACTTGCGTTAGTGTGCGTGTGTGTGTGTGGGTTCAGTAAAGTAGTTTGGAGCTTGAATTCAAGTGGTGTAAAGTGCACTTAAGTCTCCCCTCTGACTGTTTCTTCCCACTAATGTGCATGTTTGTGTGTGTGCAGAAGGGCTAATGCACTTCGGAGGAAACGGGATCTCCTCGGGGAGGAGGTTGGTACACTACACCTAAGAGAACCAGAGGAGGTCAGGGCACCCACATGCGCACAACACCCTAACCGGCACAAAGCTGTCTTTGTAAAGAATGAGACGCACTCACTAACACATACACTTTCTCCCACTCAACCTGACGCAACTTTTAACTTACAGCAGCGGGTTCACCAATGGTACAGCACTATGTCACTGATGCTGGTAAAGCCTGAGAATTATTTAAGGAACTACTCTAAGTGTGTACTGTTTCTTGTTTTCCAAGACATACAGACCACTGCTGTCAGAGGGTACTCTGTCACGCAGCATTTTACACAACTACACAGCCAGAGATTCCTCTTCAGGTAAATATGCTACTTATGAAGCTACCCAAACGCGTTCACAGAAACTTAAACCTATAATAGACTGGGGTAGCCTAAGCGATCTTGAGTTTGTTTGTGTGTTTCCCAGAATATTGCGGCTGCCTCAATGGTGGCTGGTGTCAGGAGGGCGGTGTGTGTGACTGTGCTCAGTTCCAGGCACTGGGAGACCGCTGCCAGATCAGTGAGTAATAAGCACACACACACCTACACGTCTACCTTTGGTGTCAGCTAAGATTCATCAGAATCTCATCCACATGGTACTCGTATTGTTGATTGACAAGCATTCCTGATATGCAACAGACTAGCTGGTTAGCATGTGTACAGCTTTTTAATAACAGTATACAGTTACCCACACTCAGTTATACAGGAATGAGTGTGTGTATGAGGTTATTCGTGTGTGCATCAGACTTTCCAATCATTCAACAAAGGTTAATTATCTCCACATACTCCAGTATTAATTATCAGATTTCCCCAGATCTCTCTATCTCTCTTTGTTGATTCAAATACACACACACACACACACACACACACACACTTTACTCCCCACAGCAGTAGATATAAAGTCACTTGCACTAAGGTAATAGGGTAAGGGCTGAGTGATTGAGTTTCTGGTTTCTATATTCTGAACAGACTCCTTATATAGTATATCTGGAGATCTAAGGTCACAATTATTGTAAAGACGTTTTTCATTTCAGTGAACTAATTTAGTGTTGACACACATGTTGGAAACAATATAGTTTCTGAGGGACCTGAAACTGATCTGAGGCTTGAAGTTAAATCCCGGAATAGACTATTTACAAGAAGATAAAGAATATCGATTTTTCAATCAAAATTAAAGCTTCATCTAAGATAAATGATCACACTCTATAGCTATACATCTACAGCTATAATACACATTTTGAAGATCAGGGTCACAGAGCTGATTTCACAGAACACACACAGAACATGTTCTAAAAATATTAAATCAGATTGGAAAATATTGTTGTCTTGTAATCTTGTAATTAACATATGTAAAGTATAATTTACTAAATGTGCCAATTTCGGATTTCCATCAGCATGACAAGCCATTCACTGATAAGATTAGAAAATGTGACTCACTGTCACCAGCATCCACCCACTCTTATTTTGAGGAGGGTTTCAGGCAGCATCTTGGCATAGCCTGGCTATGGGGATTTCCTGCAACAAAGGGCTTTTTAGAAAATCCAGGTATTCATTTTCCACTGATAAGTTCAATTAAATAAAACCTGATGATGTAACTATGATAAAAGAGATAGGGTGTATGACTTGCTCTCGCACTTTAGTAAAGTGTCAATTTTCGCTGAAGTTCATTTGTGTCATCACGTGAAACTGATCCACTTCATCATTACGAGACTCTTGTCTGAGTGAGCTGCTCATTTTCCTCTCAGTACCTAACCAGGGTCAGGACAGAGACGGGATCTGCAGGTCATGGGGTCAGCACCACTTCGAAACATTTGATGGCATCTACTTCTATTTCCCTGGAACCTGCTCTTACATTCTGGCCCAGGATTGCCACTCAGCTACACCACAGTACACGGTGTGGGTAAGAGCATCAAAATTACCCTCTGAAATATTTAACTGGTATTAAACCTTTATGTATAGTAAAGGGTAGTTTGGCATTTTTACAGTAACCCCATGTTTACACTCAAAATAAAAGAATACACAAGTCATTTTAAGAAACTAAAACACAGAGGTATTTAGCTACTCAAACCAACCAAAATGCTTCAAACAGGAGTTAGATAAGCGTGATACAACAGTAGTTTAATGCCAATTTGCAATTATTGTCAACTCCATATAAGCTGTAATTGTCATATTTGTTTGGTTAATTTTTAGTTGTCTGTGCTTTGCATACAATATGTTCTTCTTGACCCATTAAATACTTTTAAAATTGGAAACAGAAGACTAAGTTTTATTTGAGTTTTCTTAGTTAAGTCATGATGCATTTAAAACTCATATTTAACAGCAAATTCTTCCAGACCTCATTTAACCAGTAGGTCTGTAATATTTTATGGTGGTGATGGTATTTGTATTTCCTACATA